GTATAAGAGACAGCCTACATTAAGAGATGGTTTTTGTTTGCAGAAATAAAAAGTACACAAATAAATTATCAACTAGCCCACTTGGAACTGGCCGGCTAAGTCCGCAATAAAATAATAGTGGCTGACATTGCCAACATTGGATGGGTAGTATTGACTTTGCCCACACAAAACTGGGCCATGTCCACTAATAAAATCATTTTAGCAGCTTTGCCCAATCGTGTTGTGCAATGTTGACACGGCCCGGGCAATGCCGACTCTGCATACCATGCAGACTTTGCCCGTAACATATATATTTAAAAGCTCTCTCTCTCTCTCTCTCTCTCTCAGAAAGAGAGAACGAACGAGCAAGCGAGCGAGCGAGCTGTGATTCTATATATTTGGATGGTCGGTAACTTAAATTAGTGCCATCTAACGGTACGGTGGATAGTTGGACAAGATTGAAATTTTGCGAAGAAGAAGACGACAACGACGACGACGACGACGTATCTGAATAACATAAAGTTATTCAGATACGTCGTCAGAAGAACCGGCAGAAATATACATGCATAATTCAGCGTTTGTGTATGAAAGACATTTATGAGTATCATTATTGTATTATTGTAATTGGAAAAATTTACATTTTTCTTAAAAATAGGCTTTCATCGATATAATTAAATATTTAAAAAGAAATAATAATTTATTTCTGTAAAAGTGTTATTCGTGGAAAAGATATTAAAAATGTAAAAAAACCGCCAAGTATATTTTTTAACGTTTTTACCTCGAAAAAATTGTATCAGATTGAAAAAAATGAGACCTTTGTATCATTTTAAATATATAATACGACTTCAAAAAAAAAAACTGTTGTTAAATCATTAAAAAAACAGCGCCTAAGTGGCATTATCATCAATATATAACAATCACGGAAAATTATTTTGTAATTAATATATCCCGAAAGAAACTATTGTAACAAATTAAACAAACAAAATCCAAGTTGTATTATCTCTAACGTATACATGATTTTAAAAAAATTTATTTTAATAAATTAAAAATATAATGTTACCAAAAAGAAGTGAAATCAAAATATTATTTCAAGTATATTTATTGTAATTGAATTAAAAACTAAAAAAAATAATATACTTCGAAAAAAGTATTGTATCAAATTAAACGAATAGAAACAAATTAATTTATTTTGTATCAAGTTAGTTGCATGAAGTTAGTCATAAAATAAAGAAAATGAAAATTCGAAACATCAAA